TAGAGCCAGAGGTGAAGAGCTACAACTCCCATCATCCCTGACAAAAGGAGTGTAGTTGTCCTGAATTAATCAAAATATAATGATGCATTTGTTTTTTGGGGGGATGACTAGTTACAGGGAAATTAATGGTAAACAGCAACTACTATATGTACTCATGTATAAGTTTAGAAATTTTAGTCAAAAAATTAACCCCAAAAAAACCCTGAGTCAATTTATCCACTGATCAATGTTAAGTACTATACATTATCTCTTATTTTAAAAGGAGCCATCTCTAAGAGCATAATCTTTCCTGAAAGGACTGTCCCCACTCTACTCTCTCATCCATCCAGCCGTTAGGGTGAGCACAAACAGTTAAGCCTGCTGGAATCTTGTAAGTTCTTTGGGATTGTTTTCCTTTGCTTCCTCTTTTAGATCCTTTGTTACATGCCCACAAGTTTTACTCTCAACTTATCGATAGGCCATATCAAAATCCATAATGTTGTTCCCCAAATCTTCCTTTGACTTATACATGAGGTTGACTTATAGTTGAGTATATAAAGTAATTACAGCAAACAGAGCCAGTGTGGTGTAGTGGTTTGAGAGTTGGATTATGACTCTGGAGGTTAGGGTTCAAACCCCAGCTTGGCCATAGAAACCCACTGGGTGACCTTGGGCAAGTCACAATCTCTCAACCTCAGAGGATGGCAATGGCAAACTGCCTCTGAAGAAACTCAAGAGCGACATGAAGGAACATAGCAACAACAATTGTAACAACCAGACTCTGAACTTGGAAGTAACTCATTATTTCTTAACAGGTATTTCTGTGTTGTGGGTTCACTTGCTAACAAATAAACGAAAAGAAAAAAACTACGTGTAATATGATATTTTCTATATAGAGATTTTTTTTCCATACCGCAAACTTGATGCATACCTTTGTTTGTGAAATATGGTCGGAGCATATATTTTGTTAGGAGCACATGGATGAAGAAACTGTATAGGTGCCCTTTTTTCATGGTCCATCCATGTATACTACTTGAAAAAGCAGATTAACAATTGGTTATTTCTTCTTAAGACCTGACCTAGATCTAATCATTTGCCATTCAAAAGAGGCAAAACTTAGATCTTGGCAGGAAGCTGTTACCATTCACTGTGAATGGTGGTTTGAAGGGACTGCCGTATGTAGTCAAATACATTGACACAGTGGGGAGATGTGATCTTTTCTAAGACTGTTATTCAAATCATTTCATCTAGTCCCTTGTCCCAATATAATATTCCCTGGCACAAAGTTAATTTAATACTCTTTTCTAAAATTATATATATATATATACACACACACACACACACACACCATAAGATCGCAGCGATAGTACAAAAACCCTATTATAAAGCAGAATACATTGAATGAGGGGCTTCTGGTAAGCCCTTCATCTCCTGTTAATTGTACACTGCATTTGTGTCAGAAAGGCCTCCATGGCAATGCACTGTTGCCTCTTTCCTTCTTTTACTGCAATATTTAAAAACAGTTGGAGAGCCACCAGGGATGGCTGGCACTCTCCATAGATTAGCTACAAGTAATTGCAGTTATAAATACACACACACACATGCTGATATTATTATGTTAGGCAGTCTCTCTCTCTCTTGTTCTCTCTCTCTCTCTTACACACACACACACACTTTTTATCTTATCATCTCCCCTTTATTGAATGCTAGCCTGGCGTTGTGATTTGAGTGCTGACTATGACTGGAGACCAAGGTTTGATTCCCAGCTCAGCCATGAAACCCACTGGGTGACCTTGAGCAAGTCACACACTCTCAGCCTCAGAGGATGGCAACAGCAAACCTCCTCTGAACAAATCTTGCCAAGAAACCCCCATGATAGGTTTCCCCTTAGTTGCCATAAGCTGGAAACAACTTGAAGGTGCACAACACACATGGCAAGATTCCCATCATTATAATAGGAAAAATGTATGTAGACTAAGGACCTCTTTACTGTAGGAACCCAGTGGCTCATATTCTATAAATTAGTCCCAATGTGAGTAGATCCTCTCAATCAGTTGCTGAGTCATGGGTTGACACACAGATAAATTTCACTGATTCAATGGGTCTTCTCAACAGAATTCAGGCCAATACATGTTGACTGGAGGAGTTTCATCTTTGCCCACTCTACACTAGGAATCAGCAACTATAATCTTCTGTGTCTTGGACTGCAGCTCCCATCAGCCCTGACCATATTAACCAATGATGAGACATTGTGAGAGATACAGTCCAATCATCTTGAAGGGCATAGTTTCCTACACAGACAACAGCCTCACTTCCTGGTTGTTGTTGTTGTTTTAAAAAAGGCTTTTCCTCAGCCTAAAATTACTCAGGGGGCAAAAAGTGAAGAGAATGCCCCCCCTCTTTTTTCTTTTTCTTTTTTTTTTTTTTTCCCCGTAGAGAGCTAGAGCAAGCAATCTCCAATGCCAAATGTTTCAAATCGCCAGGGCCAGACGGTCTTCCCAATGAATACTATAAAATATTTTCTTCACAATTAATCTCGCCTTTATTGGATACTATGAATAACATCATTGATGGTGCTATGCCCCAATCATGGAAGCCAGCTAATATTTCTTTGAGTTTAAAAAAGGATAAAGACAAATTAGACCCTAACAGTTATTGTCCGATTTCTCTTTTAAATTCGGATTATAAATTTTTGGCAGCAATATTGGCAAATCGGCTGAAATTTATCTTAGATAATTGGATACATGAGGATCAAAATGGCTTTCTCCCATCCAGGGGGACAAAACAAAATTTTAGAAATTTAATGAATATAATTGATCTACATCATAAAAATATTCAGAAAAAATTGGCTTTAATCTTCCTGGATG